AGAAGGAACTTAAGGCTGTAGTGATCTGTACGAACAAGAAAATGACGCCCCAATAGGTATGGTCGCCAGTGACATACAGCCTGAACCAGCCCAATCAGCTCGCATTCGTAGGCGGCGAGCTTGAGATGGCGAGCAGCGAAGGGCCAGCTGAAGAAAGCGAGGGGTCCGACGTCTTGGTGGAGAACAGCGCCGAACCCCATGCCTGACGCATCGCAGTCCACCACGAACTGCTTGTTGAAGTCGGGCATTTGGAGGACGGGTCCTGTGGACAGGTTACCCTTGAGCGCCTGAAATGCTGAGTCCGCCTCATCGTCCCAGGCGAATGCATCCTTCCACAGGAGAGGCGCGTCAGTGGCGCAGCGATGAGGTCGAAGTCGCAGATGAACTTCCTATAGTAGCCGGTGAGGCCCAAGAAGCCCCGAGCCCACGGGCGGAGTGAGGGGCCGGCCATGAGGTGACTACAGCCACCATGTCGGCGTCCATAGCGATGCCGCTTGCTGATATCATGTGGCCCAGGTAGGCCACCGATGACGCCCCAAAAGAACACTTGGAATGCTTGAGGTGGAGCTGGTGCACCCGAAGTGCGTTGAGGACGATGCTGAGGTGCTGCAGGTGTTTGGCCCAAGAGTCGCTATATATGAGTATGTCGTCGAAAAACACAAGCACAAACCTACGCAAAAAGGGGTGGAGCACTTCGTTCATCAAAGCTTGAAAAGTCACTGGTGCGTTGGAAAGGCCGAACGGCATGACTAGGAACTCAAAATGGCCATGGTGAGTGCGGAACGCCGTCTTGGCGATGTCGTCGGGGTGCATCCGCACTTGATGGTAGCCCGAGCGCAAATCGAGCTTGGTGAAGAAGCGAGCCCCGTGAAGCTCGTCGAGAAGCTCATCGACGACTGGAATCAGGAATTTGTCCTTGGACGTCTTGGCGTTGAGGGCCCGGTAGTCGATGCAAAAGCCCTAGGAGTTGTCCGCCTTGTGCACTAGTAGCACGAGGGTGGAGAACAGGGACATACTCGTCCGGATGATGCCTTGGGCGAGCATAGCAGCGCGCTGACGCTCCAACTCGTCCTTCTGCAGCTGGGGGTAGCGATAGGGGTGAACGGCGACCGGAGCTGTACCTGGCAGCAGGTGGATGCGGTGATCATACGGCCGCATCAGAGGGAGCCCCTGTGGCTCAGCGAAGACCGGCTCAAACTGCTCTAGTAGCTAGTCCAGTAGTGGCTGCGAGGGGACAGCAGCGATTGCCCATGCTGCCGGTTCCCGGATGTTGTCGTGGGGGACCCCAGGCCCTTCCATAGAATGTGCCGGGTGCCCTGAGTGAAAGCAATGCACAAATCCTTGAAATCCCAGAGGATAGGACCCAGGGTACGTAGGAACTCGATGCCAAGAATAAGATCAAAACCACCTAGGCTAATGCCATAGCAAGCTGATGGTGAACTCCTCTATACCAATGGCTAGGGCCACACCCCGAGCGACACCTTCGCAAGGCACACGATCACCGTTGGCCACCAGTACCCGCATGGTAGGGTGCGGTGATGTAGAGAGGTGTAGACAGCGCAAGAGATCAGCGTTGATGAAGTTGTGCGTTGAGCTGGAGTCGAGGAGCGCCACAAGCCGGTGGCCATGTACGAAGACTGGAAGGAGCATATCATTCTCAGTCTGGATGCCAGCAATGGCATAGAGGGACACCTGAGGCTGGGCTACAGGTTCCTACCCCGCTACGGGTGCAGGCGCAAGCACCGCAGCCTCCTCCAGAAAAGCAGCCACAGTGGCCACCTCCACTGTGATGTCATCGTCGAGGTAATCTGCTGCTTCGAGGTAGAATAGGCGCTGACACACATGACCGCGCACGTAGGGCTCATCACAATTGTAGCACAGACCTTGGCGGTGGTGCTCTAGTTGCTCTGCTGGGGACAGCCGGTGAAAAGGACGAGCAGGGGCTACAGCGCCCGCTGGTGCTTGAGTTGGGGTCGCCCCTAGGGCTGCTGGTACTGCTGCAGCAGGCCGTGGCGGTGCTGGGATGCCCAGGCGCTGAGGAGGCCGGGCACCACGCTGAGCAGTGGCCAGTGTCATGGCAGCGGCGCGGCGCTCAAAGGCCCTGGCCAAATACATGGCCGTTTGGAGGTTCTGGGGCTCTCGCAGCTCCACGTCGACCTTAATGTGCTCTGGAAGGCCGCCCACAAACAACTCCGCTTTCTGGGACGTGGAGAGGTTCCGAGCATGATAGAGCACCGCATTGAAGCGTTCGAAGTAGTCCTGTACCATGGAGGTGAAGGGCAGGCGAGCAAGTTTGTATAAACGTGTCCCACGAACAGCTGGCCCAAATTGCAGATTGCATAGCTCCTTGAAACGTTCCCACGTAGGCATGCCCTCGTCTTGCTCGAGGGCATAGTACCATGTTTGGGCCGCACCGGTGAGATGGTACGACGCGAGCCAAGTTTGGTCCGAGGCAAGGGTACGCTGCCCGCGGAAGAACTGGTCACAATGATTGAGCCAATTGAGGGGATCCTCGGCGCCATCGTATGTGGGGAACTCCAACTTGTAGAAGCGTGGAGGGTGAGCGCCGTGGTTGACACCCGGAGCTGCTGGTTCTGGAGCAAAGGCTGTGTACGACGAGGCGCCGTGGTGGTGCTGCATGTTGCCGCCGAAGAGTAGAGGGCCATCAACGCCTCCATAGAAAACCCCCTCGGTGTAGGAGGGCTGTTGTACCCCCCCACCGTAGTGGATCAGGGCACCTGTGGTAGGGGCTGGGGCAGCCAACGTCGTGGTCGCTGGAAACGTTGCCATCGTATACACCAGCCCTACCGTCGGGGCCAGGGCATAAGTTGGGATCGGCGACGGGGAGGGTGGCATCCGCAGTAGATGGATGGGCACGCCGGTTGCACTGGACTAGGGGCTCCCAGTAGGGAACACCAGCGGTAGGGAGGCCATGGCCGATTGAGGCGACGGCGGTGGTGGGCGCGGTGGGGAGGGCAGCGACTGCTGCGAGGCGAGGTAGGACTGCATCGCGGCCATGGAACGGGTCAGCTCGTGGATGGCCGCGGTCATCTGCTCCATCGACATTGTAGAGGACGGAGCGGGCGCCGAAGCGGATGGCAGCAGTTGCGCAGCAGTGGTGATTGGCGGCGGTGGTGATGGGCTGGTGGAGGTGGAAAGAGGGCCTGACATCTCTGATACCAGATTGATAGGACTTGATGCCCTACCGAAGTTGCTGTGAAGGTTGTAGGGATGGAAGAGCGGCGGGCGAGGCTTAGGGCAGCGGCGGCGGGTTGGCGCCGTGGTGATCATGGCGCAAGGAAGAGGAGAAGGTGCGGCTAGGGCTCCCAAGGGAAGCCTGCAACAATTAGGTTGCTTATGCTTAATTTCAATCTGATTTGTTTACAGAGTCTTTATCCTCTCTAGAATCCTATAATTAAGGAATAAATACCATAAATAACTAATAATACTAATATGGGCTGTTAGCCCCTAAAACCGGCGTCCTCCTCTAGCCACTAATGGGCATGCGCCTATTATAATAGACGCCGGTCATAACAAACCTTCACATCAGGAAGCTACCAAGAGGTCCCATACGTTGTGGACAACCGTAAGTTTTTTTTAACAAAATTAGAATAGGTATTTTTGTAGGAAATTTTCAAGTTATCAAATTTTCATTTTTTTTAAAGTTATCAATTTTTCATGTATCATGTATGAGAAAAACAAATCAAGAACTGCCTAAATAAAACCATGAATGGTGAAATATAATTTTAGATTTTGTTGTACCTTTCCTTAAAATTCCACTTTTCTATGGAGATCAGTCAGATGGAATTATCTCCCGTGCACCTTTTCTTCAATCTCTCTTCACAGTTTCAGGACTTCAGGTAGCTTATGGTCTGAATATCTACTTGCTCCATGTGGTCCAGGATCATCACAACTGAGAATAAGATAATTTGTCATGTCAATAGCAAAACTGTAGTGCTTAAAAAATAATAAATTCCAGGGGAAAACTGATGCTCGTTTTCATGGGTATACTATATAATCAAAGTTATGAAGTGGCATACAACTGTAGTTTGAAGAAAGTGTTATGAAGGGACATACCACTCAAATTTAGTGTCCTTTAACAGGCAACATTCTTGTACTAAAAAGAAAAAAAAATACACCATAGTATACAATTGGTTGAAATACCCTGGGCAAACACGTTTTGATCAAACTTTAACCAGTCATTTCAAACACAAAGACAATCGTATAACAAAGATAAAATACACATGCTGAAGATTGCACCTGTTCTAGGTCTTAACCACATCTCTTTCTACTTCAAAACTGTCAAGGCTGTAACTTAAGGCATGATATTTATTATTGTAGCAATAAATATGGCTGTAGCAAACTCATGAATATTGTGCTACCCATATAGCCCATTTAATAACAATCCATAAATGCTTAAATTCAGTTTGATGCAACAGACTACAGGTCTTCTAAAAATCAGGCTCGTCCATCTATCTCCATGGACCATGGTTAAGGTTAGTACAATAGCAATCGCTTCCTAAAGCCATGACAATAACAGTCTTGTGATGAACACTACATTTTACTTACACTCGCACATCAGTAACAATGGGCCTTCCAAACTTCAACCAACCGGGAGAAGATCCGGCGCCGCATTGCCCAGCGAATTCATGCCGAGCCGACTCCCAGAAGGGTGATGACTCGATCTGTGGCCGATGGATTGGAGCCGAAGAGGAGGGGATCTCTGACCGGGCAATTCAGATCAAGAAAAGGGAAGTTGGTGCAGGGATTGGATAGGAGGGAGGAGAGATGGGAGGGGCTTGCCTGGTGGAGGATAGGACTCCGGGACCTTCTGGTAACTCATGGCGCTGTCCACTGTTGTCGCCTTACCGTGCCTCGCACCGTCGCTAGCTTCCCGCCCTAGTGTTTTTCCAATCTTCCTCTTCCACGAACTGGGTGGGCGTTAGCGTCGCGTGGCTTGTCAGAGGATGTCGTTGATCGTATACCTCGTGGAGAAGAGCCTATAAGAGGTGATGGTGACCTTGGTCTTCTAGCGGGAGATGGTAACGGATTTGCCAAAGGTCACCGGCCTTTCCTCCGGCAACCTTGCTTCGCTCCTGCCGGAACTTCCCGAGGAGGGCGATCTCCATGATCTTGTCCTCCGCGGGCTTGGTGCAGGTGCAGTCGATGGGGAAGGTGTCTGAGACTGACCCCTTCTTCTTGCCCGCGGCCACGCCGCCCTTCGCCGCCGCCATGCCACGCGCCATCGCCCCTCCACGTCTGTCTACCGTGTAGTAGATTGATTTTTTTAGAACATGGATGGTTGATGGGAGAAACATGGAAGTAAGTAAATAAAAGAGAAGAAAGGAGACCGACGATACTGGGAGGCCGATGATACGGGGAATAGGGTTGGCGCAAGCAAGGCAAGGGCCAGAGAGCGGGGAATCATGATTGCGGCTACAGGTGGCGGGTATGTTGAGAGGTGGGTGAAAAAAAATCGCGAGGGGAGAAGGGGTTCGATCCTTTTGAATGGCAGGAACGCAAACATGTCTTACGGATGCGTAAGATTATAGAGGGCCCACAACCTGATTAAGGTACACAATCGGATTTAAAGATGTTTAGTCATCCAAGGGTTAGGGTGGGTAAGAAAATTTTGGTGAGACATATTTTTCAATTCCTTCACTCCGTACTAGCAAATAGTATGCACGTGCGGCACGCACGTGTTTATCAAAAACACCATTACACAATTAATATTACACTAGAAAGACTAAATCATTAGCTTCAATGAGATTCAGATTCCATGAATTTCCATTCCTTATTTCTTAATGCATATATCAGTAAAGACGACAATGAGATCAATAGTGTCCAGAAGCTTAATTAGGATAAAAATATGTGTCTATATATATGAGCAAAGAACCCTAACCAATTAGCAATATAATGAAGATTGGATAAAAATAGAAAAGAAAATACCTAACCTTCACCAAGTCGTGCTTTATTAATTTGATGATGAAGCGATCGATCCATATATAATTTGATAAATTTATTTTCTAGGTATGTGTACCAAGATTCAAGAAGCCACAACGCTCTTCATAAACAATTGTAACTTGATTGACTGACTACATGTCTAAATGTGATCTGAGGGACGGAGGGAATTAGGGCCGGCAATACCTGAGGCTTGTGCTTTGTACATGTGCTTGCTTAGTTGCTCTTGCCGTATGCGTCTGCCGTCGTTGTGTTTGTTGGAGATTAGGAGTTGGTGTCCCTGCCTCAATGGACTTTGGCCGCCGAACGAAGCCTGCAAGGCAGCGGCCAAACACCCAACACCGAGACACCAACAGGCAACCGACAGAGCGGCGATCGACGAGCCGACGACACGTCATGTGGAGGAACTCCTGCACATACACATGCACGCATGCACATGTTGTCAAGATACAGCAATTCATTGGATCTCCACGGGTCACAACGGAATCAATCGATCATGTGTTCGTTGGAGACGATGACATGGATCGTATCTTAGTCCGACTAAGGTTGGGATTTCGGAGGAATATGGGATACGGGGTTATGGGGTTGGTTCAGAGTCTTGCATCTTACATGTAAAATTTTTGGACGACGGATGGCTCATATAGTATGAAGTCTAGATCGAACGGTTATTACAGAGAGAAAGCTCCCTAAAAACTCGTTCTTTTACAGTGTGATAATAGATAGATTAGTTGTCAAATGTGGAGACAATAAGACTTGACTGTGATTATTTTAATTATTTGATTGCACTCGTCTGAACTCGAAAAGTTAGACAAAGCCTCGTCGTTACCATGCATATGGATTTGCATGCAACAATGATAAGTTCAACCTCAGAAACAACTTAGCAGGTGAGGAAGGTGAACAATTCACTTTGCATCAAGTTCGCAAAAAAAAATCACTTTGCATCAGTCCACATGTGTTGGGGTGGATCAGAATGAGACTTCAACTAAATTCTAATTACCCAATTCACCTAACCATATGTGAATTGAGGTGAATCCGACAACATTAAAACAAGACCTTACCGTCTTACTAATTTTTATTCGAGTCTTACCGCCTTACTATTATGATTTAGGTAAAATTGGCTACAGGACATTAAAAGTGACCCCTCTTTGCTAGCGGACATACAAAATAGAGCAGTTTGCTGGTGGACACTGTCGTTGTTGTCAAATTTGCTCATGAACACTGCGGCTAATAAAATATTCATTTTTTTCTTCTGAGGATAGAGAACAGTGGAGAAATATCCTCTCTCTTTTTATTGCCTCTCATCTGGGTACAACTGTAGCATCTGTTCGTACACACGCACGCCCACTCAACACACACTACTCACACCATCCGTGTACAAACAAACTTATAGCTACACTCAGATCTAAAGACCGCGTCCTTCTTGAGATCACCGAAATCCTCTGACTTCGTAGGCGACGGGATACGTCACGATCCTATCATGGCATCACGCATGAGAGACAGACGGGCCAGGGCACAGCCTGGGCAGCGCTGGGGAAAAACACCGGTGAGACACCAGCGTCGAACCCAGGGTTCGAACACTGGCGGGCAGCAAGCCAACCACCGGCTTTTGCCCCTTTCTTTGGCCTCCTCTTCCGCAGGGCACGAGTATGTTTTCGCGGAAAATAATCCACGCCCCATATGACTGTTTAGAACTATTCACGTGAGTCATGAGTTTTACGTTTATCTCCCCATCTTTGTTTCTATTCAATTCCTCAGTTCATGCTCAATTCAAGAGCAGAGCACAGCGCACAGCTGGTGGCCAAATCCGTCCGGCGCGGACTTCGCCGGCGGCGAGGCAGGGCTCCGCGAGCCTACCCGCATGGCCACGCACCCAAAGGTACTCGCAGAGCGTCTAAGGGCAGCCTGTAGGGCGAGGCCGGCGCGGGCGGCGCGCACGTGCAGCAGAAGCCAGCGCGATGGCGGCGACGGGAGATGGATTGGGGAGCGAGGAGCGCATGCGTTGGAGACACGCGAGGCAGGCGTGCAGGCCGCCGGCGTGGTGCTCCGCCATAGCTTGCTGCTCCTCGCGGCAGGACACGTGCTCTACACCACCGCTTGGCCCGCCGCCCTCTGGGCCCACGCGCGCACGTCGACCCGCGCACACGCGCCGCGCCACCGTTTGCACAGACCCGGCCGGGGCTCGCACCTCCGCTCCGCTTGGCCCACACGCCACCGCTCTCGTCTGGTGCTCCCTCGTGGCCGCGTCTAGCCTCGTCGTGCAGGCACCGGTGCTCCCTCGTGGCCGCGCCTGGCCTCGTCACGCAGGCGCTGGTGCTCCCTTGTGGCCGCGCCTGGCCTCGCACCTCCTCGTGGCCGCACCTGGCCAGGCGGGTCCGCACCCGCGGCTCCTGCGTTCTCGTCGGCTGTGGCGACCGGCAGCGGTCCAAAGGGGCCACGTCCTTCCTGCAGCGACAGCACACAAGCACAGGCGTGGCGGTATGGGCGGCAGCAGCATGGGGGCCCCTCTTGCGTGCCCTGTGTGCCCCGATGCCGTGTCCTGCCCTGCGTGCTCGCGTCCTGTTTGCTCATCGCCGGCCCGACGCCCAGTTGGCTCCAGAGCGGCGGCCCTGGTGCCCACGGCGCAGCCAGGCGAGCTGTGGAAAAAAAGAAAGGGAGTGAGGAAGGAGCCATGGGCAAAAAGATATTTTCCCGCCGTTCTCTCTCCTCGTCAGCAAGAAATGAATATTTTATTAGCCGCGATGTTTAAGAGCAAATTTGACAACAACGACAGTGTCCACCGACAAACCGCTCCATTTTGAGTGTCCTCTAATAAAGAGGGAGTCACTTTGATTGTCGTATAGCCAATTTTGCCTCGATTATATTGGACCGAGCTAGCTAGCTAGTCTCTGCCTCTCCGCACGCCCTCGGCCCCACACCCAACTCTGACCCGATCTAGTAGACTACTCACAAGCGAGCCGCCAGTGGACGGTGGTGGCGGCGAGCGCGGCGACGTCGGTCTCATACTCTCTAATTGGCGGGCCGGTGGCCGGCAGCTGCTGCTAGCTCGCGCTGGCTTTGCTGCCTCGTCATCTCTGCACCTAGCGTCATTTCGTTTGTTAGGGCAGTCCCAATGTTTCTATACCTGTTAATTTCCTTAAGACACTACATATAGAAACCATATTCTCAATGGATAATTTTTACATAATATTTTTTTATCCAATCACATACATTCTCTTTTCATTCTTTACCAATCACATTTCTTCATATCTTGGTTCTCGTGTAGACATGATTTCTAACTTAGAACCGGTTTATATGATTTTTACTCCATCTCTTTAAATAACTACATTACCATATTAGTAAAATACGTAAGTAACAGTACAATTAATGTCTATAAAACTATGATAATTTCTATATTGGAAGTGCCCTTAGCAGCCTCAGTTTTCTTACTAGCATCCTCCCCGAATGGCCCAATCCCCGTGCATGGACAGATGGTCCACATCAACCAACCTTGTTGTCGCCTTGATTACCTGGAGGTGACGACCGAACGACCACAGCTGAGAATGCAAACTCCATTTCGGAATTGTCAAGTGCCTGCCACTAATAATTAATACTACCTCCATTCTCTTTCGTAGGGCACACCCATAACAATATTCAAACTTAAAATCTTTGACTAACAATTTATTATTATTATTATAACACAAATTTGATATGGTTAGATTTGTAAATCAATATATCTACTATCCAATCATCATAAGTTTATAAGTATAAATAATATAAAATAAAATAAATAGATGGTCAAAGTATAATTTAAGAGACCATATCATATCAAGTTGTGCCTTATAAAAGAAAAGAGGGGGGGGGGGGGGAGTATAATGCAGACTAGCTTACCACAGATTGGCTCACCTACTGTCACTACTGAAAACTAAAATATCCCTGTCGGTAGAAACACAACCGACAGAAAAAAAATTATGTCGATTTTGTGATAACGGATAGAAAAAAAGTCAATTTCTCTGTCGGTTACCAGATAACACATATGTATCACTGCCTCCTAATCCTGTCTGACTGAATGTAACTCACAAGGAAAAATAAGACGTTCTGACATTTCTAGATACATTGCTTTAACTATATATCTAGACCTAATGTATATCTACGTGCATAGCAAAAACAACGTATTTAAAAAAGTCAAAATGTCTTATAATTTGAAACAATGGGAGTAATAAGAACGCTAGCTAACAATTTTACTATTACTAAATGAAGGCACCAAATTAAAGAAAGCTTTATGTTAACCATGAGATGCATTAGAGAAACAAATTTCTAAAAATTCTCGCAGTAATCAAACATCTAACATTTAATCTATTGATAGGATCCTAATCATCATCGGCAATAATAATCATTGATCTATTTTGTTTTTTAAAAAATTACTCACCTCTTTCGGCTACATTGTTACTATCTACATGAACTTTACTTCATGTCTGAACCATGAAACTTGGTCTCTCTCATCACAGATTATGGTCCCTCACACGGTCCCAATAGAGATACATTTGTTTATCAGCTTCAAATTCCAGATGATGAACTTTGGCTTATGCTTTGAGATTTTAGTTTTTTTATAGATCAACTGAAAACAAAAACCACCCAAGAGGAATGTTGATCTTCAACAGTATTATCAGTCTTTTGTGTTTAGTTGAACTACCTACTTGTATTAATATTGATATATTAGAATTTGATTAAATAAAATAAACATACATGCATATTGTGCCACCATGCACATCAAGTGTGTGTGTGTGTGTGTGTGTGTGTATATATATATATATATATATATATATATATATATATATATATATACACACACACGTGCATGGCCATAAATATATATGTATGTTATGTTCAAGAATCATGAAACATATTTTCTTAACAACTCATATACTATATCTGTACGTGTCGTAGCTAAATGGCTAAGTTAGGTTCTTCCCAATGCAATCCCATCCCATTGGATTGATCGCACGCCGGCCCATTGGGTTTTACGTTCATCGACTTTGCTGGCAGTGGTGAGCTCAATTCTTAAATTTATTTCTTATACAGAATAATTAAATGGAATATAAGAGTACATACGATCCATGGATGATCGATGCAAACATGTACACACTGAAAGAAACAAACGAAGGTACGTGTACAGCTACCTCACATTATCTCTCTTGCCATGTACGTGTGTACTATCGCCGTCCATTCAGCACGTTCGTTCGTTGATTTCAGCTAGGGCTTATTAACTAGCCAACATTATTTTTCTCTTCCAACAAATCAGCACCAGCTAAACTTATCGGCTAAACTTATCGGCTAGAAACCAAACCGATTGTTGTTTCTAAGATCGAGGTCCCTTGTTGACGGATGACGGCAGAACGGCAGGACTCCTGTAAATAAGATGGTGGAGGCCGGGTGGAGGAGGGCTGTGCTAGCAGCTGTGTGCTCGTGGCACTCTGCTACTCCACTCCTCGTACAGCAGTCACCAGTCAGCAGAGGCAGCTTGCTAGCTGTAGCTGGGAACACCATCATATCATATATACTCCATCACTCGTATATTACATATATACATACAGATTAAAAGAGAGAGAGAGAGATGGCGGATCATGAGTCGCTTCCGCAGACCGCGGCGGAGGGCAAGACGACGACGATGAAGGAGGCGTGGGACTACAAGGGCCGCCCCGCCGTCCGCGCCTCCTCCGGCGGGTGGTCATCCGCCGCCATGATCCTGGTGGTGGAGCTGAACGAGCGTCTGACGACGCTGGGCGTGGCCGTGAACCTGGTGACGTACCTCGTCGACACCATGCACCTGGGCGGCGCCGCGTCTGCCAACGCTGTGACCAACTTCCTGGGCGCGTCCTTCATGCTCTGCCTCCTGGGTGGCTTCGTGGCCGACACCTACCTCGGGAGATACCTCACCATCGCCATCTTCACGGCAGTCCAAGCTGTGGGCATGTGCATCCTGACCGTGTCGACGGCGGCTCCAGGGCTGCGGCCGCCGGCGTGCACGGACCCCACTGGCCCCAACCACAGCAGCAGCTGCGTGGAGCCCACCGGTACGCAGCTGGGCGTGCTGTACCTGGGCCTGTACCTGACGGCGCTGGGCACGGGGGGTCTCAAGTCCAGCGTGTCGGGGTTCGGCTCCGACCAGTTCGACGAGTCGGACGGCGGCGAGCGGCGGAGCATGGCGCGCTTCTTCAGCTGGTTCTTCTTCTTCATCAGCATCGGGTCGCTGCTGGCCGTGACGGTGCTGGTGTACGTGCAGGACCACCTGGGCCGGCGCTGGGGCTACGGCGCCTGCGTCGCCGCCATCCTGGTGGGCCTGCTGCTCTTCCTGGCGGGCACACCCAGGTACCGGTTCAAGAAGCTGGTGGGGTCACCGCTGACGCAGATTGCGGCGGTGACGGCGGCGGCGTGGAGGAAGCGCGCGATGGCGCTGCCGTCGGACCCGGCAATGCTGTACGACGTGGACGACGCGGTGGCCGCCGGAGAGGACGTCAAGGGAAAGCACAAGATGCCGCGCACCAAGCAATGCAGGTAATTAATTAACTAACTGGTGCCGGTGGCCTGGCCACCTGCTGTACGTACGACGTGTAGCCGTGTAGGAGTGTAGTACGTAAGCAAAATGATAGTCTATCGCCGGTACCATTATATATATATATATACGGCCGGTCTACAGACAACAGAAAGAGAACATAACGACGGAGGATATATGTGAGAGAGCTCTGTCCGGTTAATTTGGTAGAAGCGACGACGACGACGACCAAATTGCATTGGTGGGTGTAGTTATCATGGATGCAATTGCAATGCATCGTGCACGCCGTTTGTGTGTCTGCTTGTGGGTCACTGCTGACATATATAGATGAACCGATCGATGGGATGTAGATAGATACGTACGGAGCATATTATATATAGCAATATATGCAATGCAATGCAAGCTGGTCAGGTCAGACGATGAGATCGATATATTCATCAGGAGATCGAGTTGGATGCATGCGCGAATATTATTTTGGGTATATACGATATACCATATACCATACCATACCATCGTAGGAGGGGGATTGCATATTGGACTACGATCGACTGAGATCCTGCACATGTATATTGGAGAATAATTCGACTCACTTTCTATTAATCATGAGTGGGTTTATATATAAGTTACATTGGGATACAAAAGGATAGGAGATAAAGAGACTACAACTCTTAATATTCTAACACCCCTCGCAGTTGGAACGCCGACACTGCTTGGAGTGGAGACATTCAAACTGGAACGAAATTCAGTAAAAATAGAGGTAGGAAGGCCCCTTTGTAAACACATCCGCATATTGGGAAGTGGATGGAGCATGAAATACTCGAATATCCCGTCTAGCAACCTTGTCGCGGACGAAATGTAAATCAATCTCAACATGTTTGGTACGCTGATGTTGTACTGGATTAGTTGAGAGATAAACGGCGCTGATGTTATCACAGAAGACCACTGAGGAGCGCCGAGGACAGAAATGGAGTTCCTGAAGAAGTCCGAAGCCAAGAAATTTCCGCAACAGCATTAGCAACAGCTCTATATTCGGCCTTAGCACTTAAGCGAGAAACTGTTTGCTGTCGCTTCGAAGACCAGGAAACCAAATTGTCACCGAAAAGTACTACGTAACCTGAGGTGGAGCGCCGAGTATTGGGACAACCTGCCCAATCAGCATTGGAGTACGCAACAAGGTCACAAGTAGAAGACTGAAGTATCTTGAGGCCATAGTCAAGAGTCCCCTTGATGTAGCGAAGAACACGCTTAATCAAGGCAAGATGGGGCTCACGGGGATCGTGCATATATAGACAAATGTGTTGCACTACATAGGAGATGTCTGGACGAGTAAAAGTGAGGTACTGTAAAGCACCGGCGAGAGCCCGACAGTCAGTGGCGTCAGCAACAGGTGGTCCATCACCAGAGAGCTTGGCATTAGTATCAATCGGAGTGGAACAAGGTTTGCAATCAGTCATACCAGCACAGTCCAAGAGCTCAAGTATGTAGTGGTGTTGGGAGAGGAACATGCCAGTGGAGCTCCGAAAGATAGTCGTGACAAGGAAATGATGCAAATGCCCAAGATCCTTCATAGAAAACTCTGCTATAAGAGAACTCACAATGTTGTGGAGAAGAGCCCCAGAAGATGCAGTCAATATAATATCATCGACGTAAAGAAGTAAGTATGCCATATCGGAGCCTTGCCGCAAAATGAAAAGAGAGGTATCCGACTTTGCCTCCAGAAATCCAATAGAACGTATGAAGGAAGCAAATCGGCTCTATAAAGCTTGGGGTGCCTGTTTCAAGCCATAGAGGGACTTATTAAGGCGGCATACATAATCGGGCTTTGATGAATCAACAAACCCAGATGGTTGTGCACAATAGACCGTCTCTTCCAAAGTGCCATGGAGGAAAGCATTCTTCATATCCAATTGATGGACAGCCCACTTCTGAGATACTGCCAAAGACAGAACTGTGCGTATAGTGGCTGGCTTAACAACAGGACTGAAAGTTTCACCAAAATCAATACCAGGGCATTGGGTAAAACCACGAAGGACCCAACGAGCTTTATAGCAGTCAAGTGTGCCATCCGGATGTAATTTGTGTCCGAAAACCCATTTGCCTGTAACAATATTAATGTGGGGTGGAGGAGGAACAAGATCCCAAGTGTGATTGGCTTGGAGAGCGGTGAATTCCTCCTGCATAGCATCACGCCAATTTGGATCGGCCAAAGCACCACGATAAGTCTTCGGAAGACGAGACAATGCGGTGGCCTGCAAATTCATAATAGTCCTTGGTTGGCGAAAACCGTGTTTCCCCCGAGTCACCATAACATGATCATTGGCAATCGGCGTGACCGGAATAGCTCCTCGTGGAAGAAGGGGGCAGGTAGCGGGCGCAACGCTACTAGCAGCGAGAGAACCGGCTCCTGGTGAGATCGCAGGGGCGCCAGGAGCAGCACCAGGAGGCACAGCACCGGCGCCAGAAGGCCCAGCACCGAGCGTGGCCGCTGGACTGGGCGCGGCTCCAGCTCCTGGCGCAGCAGGGGCGCCGAAAGTTCTAGGCCACCAGCCGGAAAGTGTTGGGCAGCGGGAGAGGGACCAGCGCCCATGACGCCGGGACCGGTGACACCAGAACCTGCAACACCAGAACCTGCAACAAATGGTGAAGGAAAAGGGCTATACACATAGTCAAACTCCGACAAAAAATCAAGGTTGGATGAAGGGAGAGGAGCAGGAATCTCGGCAAAGGGAAAAGATGATTCATCAAAATTGACATGACGAGAAAGAATTATGCGATTTGTGGCTAAGTCAAGGCAACGATATCCCTTGTGGTCGGAAGGATAGCCCAAGAACACACAAGGGGTGGATCGAGGAGCTAGCTTATGTGGAGTAGTTGCAGATAGATTAGGGTAACACTTGCAACCAAAAACACGAAGATGATGATATGTGGGAGGAACGCCATATAGAGCGAAGTACGGAGTTTGAAAATTGAGGGTTTTGGTTGGATGATGGTTGAGAAGATAAGTGGCTGTGTGGAGGGCCTCCACCCAGTAGGACGACGGTAAAACTGGATTGGAACATGAGAGAGCGCATGATATTTAGAGCGAATGATGCGTTCGGCATGACCGTTTTGTGAAGTATGAGGACAAGACATGCCAATAGCAGTACCATGAGCGTGGAGGAAGGTACGGGTGGTGGAGTTATCAAACTCACGACCATTATTGCATTGGATGGCCTTGATCGTGGTGCCAAACTGAGTGGTAACATAAGAAAAAAAGCTAGAAAGAGTTGAAAATGTGTCAGATTTAAGGCGTACAGGAAAAGTCCACGAATAATGAGAACAATCGTCAAGAATTATAAGATAATATTTATAACCACTTACACTAGGAATGGGAGATGTCCACAAATCACAATGTATTAATTCAAAATTCGCGGAGGCACGTGAATTAGATGAAGCAAAAGGTAGGCGCACGTGGCGGCCTAACTGACAAGCATGACATAAGGTTTCTAATTCACCTTTATTACAAGCTGAATGCAAAGGAGCCAAGTGAGATAGAGACTCATGTCCAAGATGACCGAACCGACGATGCCTAAGTACGGGTGTAGATGTGACTACGGTGAAAGAGTGATGGTGGATCGGGGGCCGAAAAGAGTAGAGCCCCCAGAACTATTGCACCTGACGATCACGTTCCCCATTTCTAGATCCTTCACAGAAAAGCCAAAAGGATCAAATTCAACAGAACAATGATTATCAGTAGTGAAACGACAGACATAAATAAGATTCTTAATAATGTGTGGAGAGATAAGAATATTATGCAGATGTAACGAGCTATTGGGCAAGTGAAATGAAGTGGACCAACAGTTGTAACCGGCAAAGAGGAACCATTAGCGATAATTATATTAGATGGAGTAAAAGAAGTAGAAGGATGAACTTGTGTTAGGAGATCGGAGTTTGAAACCATGTGAGAGGAAGCACCTGAATCCATATACCAATTGTCGAACGGAGGAGGCGTGAGCGTCATGGTGTTGAAGTTGCTTGCCAACGCTTGCGGATCCCATGTCCAGGAGGAAGAAGCCGAAGTGGGGGAGCCGTAGTAGGAGGAACCGGCAACGGACGGAGGGCCGACGAACTGCTGCTGCTGTACGGGTGTGCCGGCAACGAAGGCCTAAGGGCGAGGAGGCAGCGGTAGCGGCGCTAACGGAGGGTGGGGACAGGCACCATGTTGGCCTGCCTAGACAGCGAAAGTCCCCGTGAGGGGATTCCAGTGTTGGGGCACCCAAGCCCCTGGCGGGCGACCGGCCGAACCACCGGGCGGATTGCACCAGCGCCGCCGGGATCGGTCGCTGTGGCCGACACCCTGGCCGCCACTCTGACCGCTGTGGCCGCCGCCTGGGCCACGGTGCAGGGCAGTGGCGGACCCAGGATACGAGACCAGGGTAGTCCTAGTAAAAAAATTTCATATGTAATACTATAAAATCCAAACAAAAAGTTCGGCAAACATAGCTATAAATTAACCAAATTACGATAATACATTTAAAAGGTTCGAAACTTACATAAATAGGTCCGAAACTTACTCAAATAGATCATACATAAGATAAGGTCTTAAAAAAAAGAAACTACAATTGCAGATGTGTCATTCATAATTGAAGGATCAGCACAATACAGATATAAGCACCACGCATCATATGCAATCATGCAGGCAGAAGCTTTTGCCCAAACAACATTTTCAGGTGTAAAAAAATACAGTAGTATCCTTGTGCACAACAAATTATATGTCAAAATGGTTTACACCTGGAAAATACTACCAAACAGGACCTAAGTGGATATGGGAATTGGGAACAGAAAAAGCACCTACCAGTGAGTCAGCCACCGAGGGTAGGGCAGGGGCCCGTTGGCTGGGGCCAGGCGGCCAGCCGGCCAGGGCGGTGCAGTGGATGGCAGCGGCCACCGTGGGGCGCTAGCGGGCGGCGGCTAGACGCGTCCGACGCCGGCCGCCGTTGGACTAGCAGAGCCGGTGGGGCCGCGGGTGTAGGGCGAGCAGGGGTGGGTCGGTTGGCGAGGTGGGGGCGGAGCGCGGCTGGGGCGGTCGCTCGTACCCACGTCGCGTCGGGGTTGGGGGCGAGGAACGCGGACTCGCGGTGTCTTCCGCCTGGGCTGAGACAAGAGTGACCGGGGGAAGCTGGAAGGAGAGCGTTTGGGCCTATTTTTCTTGGTTTCTGAAGAGTAGTAATAGAATTTTGGACCAAATTTGTGGGTAGTCCTAGGCCTACCTAGACTACCCACTGGGCCCGCCACTGGCGCAGGGGGGCGCGACGGCGACGAAGAGGTGACAAACACCATCGGGGTAGAAACCTTGCTTGCAATAGTGACTTCCTCAATAAGCAAGTCCGCATGAACGTTGGAGTAGGACGAAAACGGGCGAGTGCGCTTGATCATGGCCGCCATATGGGAGTAGTGTTCGTTGAGACCACGAAGAACATTAAGAACGAGGGTGCGGTCCAAGACCGGTTCACCCAAGATTTCCAAAGCGTCCGCCATACGCTTCATCTTGTTGCAATAATCCGTGATGGAGAGATCGCCCTAAACAAGGGTTTGAAACTCAGCATCGAGGATGATGGCGTGAGTTTCTTTATTGCCGATGAATTGTTGTTCGAGATCAAGCCAAATAGACCTTGAAGTTGGGGAAACTCCGATGAAGACAGCATCGATCAGATCGGGAGACACAGTCCCAAAGAACCATGTTCTGACGGTGCAGTCCATGCGGTTCCAATGAGGATCCGTTGAGAAGTCATCGTCGGTGAGCACGAGGCCGTCACCGTCAAGTGCATACTTGGTGACGGTGGTGAGGAAGAGGGAGCGCCATCAGCTGTAGAACGTCGATGTCTGCTCGAGGACAAGGGGGATCATGTGCTTGATGTTGACGACCGCGATGGCTTGAGCGTGGAGCTGAGCGTGCTCCGCGTTCTCATACTCGGTGACGTGTTGATCTGCTGCTTCTGCCCGAGCAGTAGCAGCGTCCGCCCGGGCGAGAGCGGTCTAAGCCTAGGCAGTGGCGGCCTGGGCAGTAGCCGTGGCCTCATCGGCCGCCCGCTGGGCCTCCTCGACCGCCCGCTGGAGCTCGGCGTTGGAAGGCTTGGCAGCACGGTGGGGAGGAGCGGCGCGACGGCGTGCCCAGTGGGAGGAGCGGCGCGACGGGGGCGGGGGAAGACCGACGGGCGTCGGTCCTAGGAGCGGAAGCGAGGGAATCGAAACCCTACAGATACCATATTGGAGAATAATTCGACTCACTTTCCATTAATCATGAGTGGGTTTATATATACGAGGCTTTTATCCGTGTGCTATTAAAAAGTTTGCAATTACGCACAAGCCATTAAAAAAGTTGAGCTCCCACGAGTGCTATCGTTCTGAACTTCTTTGCTCTCCAAGTCATTCCGTCTGTGTTCTGTTTGTTTTTTATCGATCGGTAGCCCTTACATATGGGCCCGGTCAGCGTAAACATCTAAAATACCCTTCTCTTGTCCTATCCTCTTGCTTCTTTCTCTCTTTGTCTAGTGGGGCCAAACTGTATGCGACCCGGCTCCACCTTCCTCCTCGCCGCGCGTCAGCCTCGTGCCACACCGATGCCGGGGTGGAGCTCGCTCGCCCGCGCTCGCACTCGCGGCGGTCGAGCGGAGCTCCTCCGCACGCGTGCCCATGGCGGCCGGGCAGAGCTAGCCTGCGCCCGCGCCCGTGGCCAACTAGGGCAGAGCTGCCCTCCACGTGCACCCGTGGCGGCTGGGGTGGAGCTCCCCCCTGAGCGCGCTCGCGGTGGCCGGTCTTGGCGAGTAGGTTGTCGATGGCGGAGAAGATGACGAACTCGACCTCGGCGCGGGAGGACTCGAGGTCACGCGACGGCGAGATGTAGTGCTGCACGTACGGCAGGCACGTCTCCTCCCCGAGCCCGAACCGCTCCAGCAGCCACGTCATGAACCAGACACTGCGCCCGTCGAAGCCCGGCCACACGTGGGAGTGCTCCAAGAACGTCGCGAACGAGACGCGGCAGTTGGGTTTGGTGCGGAAGCACGCGAAGTCCACCAGGTACACCGCGCGTGGCCGGAGCATCAGGTACAGGGGCTTCAGCCGCTTGAGCGCAAGCGCTGAGGAGCCGTAGTGGAGGAGGGCACGGGGAGGCACATCCGCGACCCGCGGGTGATCTCCACCGGGCGCGCAAGACGGTAGCTACGGCGAGCTCTACCGGGACGCGTGCAAGACGATGGCCGCCTCAAACATAGTTGGCAGCTGCGCCTGTGGAGGGCCATCCAGGCCGGTAGCGGCAGCATAGTCGGGCACGATGCGATGCTCGGTAGCGGTCGCGTTGGTGCAAGGCAGTGTGAAGCAGTTAACATGCGCTTCGGCAATGGCGTTGGTAGCGGCGTGATGTCGCCGAGGTCAGCAGCGTGGGCAGCAGCGCGATGCCTTCTCGTGTTCGTGCTCACCGTGTCGCGCGATCGCTAGTTGAGGGGACGCGAGCCGGGGTTCATCGCTCTAGGCGTCCGCGTCTCCGTCGACCTCGGCCTTGGCCTCCTGCACCGCTAAGGCTCGCCGTCACGCCAAGCCGGGAGCCAACCCCACCATCTGCGACCTCGTCAAGCCGGCGTTTGAGCCTACGGCCGCACCACCTCGAGCACTCGGACGGCAACAAGGGCGGAGAACCAGGCCGCAGCGCAGAGCTCCCTCGGCCCTTCGTGTACATAGGAAAGAGAAGAGAAAGTTTGGGTGGCTGACAAACGGACCCCACTGTAGAATAAAATGGTCATTTCACATGTCTGTTTGACACTGTTAAATAGAAAAGCGGATGAAATGGCTTGGAGAGCAAAGAAGTTTAGAACGATGACACTCGTGGTAGCTCAACTTTTTTAATGGCTTGTGCGTAATTGCAAACTTTTTTAATGGCACACAGATAAAAGCCTCTTTATATCTGGATTATATTGGGATACAAAAGGATAGGAGATAAAGAGACTACAACTCTTAATATTCTAACAATGTATGCATGATGCATGCTCACAGACCAAATACGTACTGTAGCTGTAGAGCAAAATAGAGCAGCTAGCGTATCTCTTTTATCACTTCTTTTCGCGTACTGTACCTTAGCATGCAGCTTTATATTACTAGCGGTAGTTATATTAGCTAGAGATATCCATCAACTGAGTGGGACACTCAGATTTCTCCTCCCCCGCGCGCCCTCTTTTTCCGGCCTTCCCTCTCTTCTTCTCCAAATCCGGTAGCCTTAGAAAGAGAAATCGGGGGAGGCAGGCTGGCTAGACGGTGAGGACAGTGGCAAGGTGGCATTCGTGTCCTAGCGACGGCCGGACCAGGTTGGGGCGGGGCCGTCCATGGCCGGAGCTCGCCATAGGAGGAGGGGTGAGGAGAACAAGGAGGCTGCCACAACTGTACTAGGGTTTCGCTAGAGCTCCGGTATGCGCGGCCACGGCAGGGTGGTGGGTGGCGGCATGGGCGAGGAGGACAAAGAACAGTGAAAAAAAATCGGGTGCTCTCCATCGATAAAACGCTGAGTGCTGGCTACACTCTTATAATAATATTTATTTATTATCATAAATGTTAGAAATCGTTTATATAGATAGATTTAATTAAATTTGAAATTGTTTGACTTGGCAAGAAGTGAGAATTGCTTCTTCTTTTTTTTTTATACAATGGATGCATGGTGTGCAGGTTCCTTGAGAGGGCGGCGATCGTGGAGGCGGAGGCGGAGGCGGAGGAGGAGGGTTCGGGTTCTTCCGGGTCCGGCAAGAAGAAGTGGGCGGCGTGCACGCTGACGGACGTGGAGGAGGTGAAGCAGGTGCTGCGGATGCTCCCGACCTGGGCCACCACCATCCCCTTCTGGACCGTCTACGCCCAGATGACCACCTTCTCCGTCTCCCAGGCGCAGGCCATGGACCGCCGCCTCGGCTCCTCCTTCGAAATCCCCGCCGGCTCCCTCACCTTCTTCTTCGTCGGCTCCATCCTCCTCACCGTCCCTGTCTACGACCGTCTCGTGGTGCCCCTCGCCCGCCGCGTCACCGCCAACCCGCAGGGCCTCTCCCCGCTGCAGCGCATCTCCGTCGGCCTCCTCCTCTCCGTGCTCGCCATGGTCGCCGCCGCGCTCACCGAGCGCGCACGCCGGACGGCCTCCCTCGCCGGCACCACGCCCTCCGTCTTCCTGCTCGTGCCGCAGTTCTTTCTCGTCGGCGCCGGGGAGGCCTTCACCTACGTCGGCCAGCTCGACTTCTTCCTGCGCGAGTGCCCCAGGGGAATGAAGACCATGAGCACGGGGCTCTTCCTCAGCACGCTCTCGCTCGGCTTCTTCTTCAGCACCGCCATCGTCAGCACCGTGCACGCCGTCACCACCTCAGGCGCAGGCGGGCGGAGGCCCTGGCTCACCGACGACCTCGATCAGGGCAGCCTCCACAAATTCTACTGGCTGCTAGCCGCCATCAGCGCCGTCAACCTGCTGGCCTTCGTGGCCGTGGCCAGGGGATACGTCTACAAGGAGAAGCGCCTGGCGGAGGCCGGCATCCACCTCGTCGCCCACGATGACGACGTCCTCGTCCATGCTTGAACTGCTGCTGAATGAACCTCAACGTTTGTCTGATGAATTCATTGCATTGTACGAATACTCGGACGGACGGACGGACGGGCAATTAGATAGATAGGTCAACAATTAAGCACATGCATGGATCCCCAAGATTAGTGGGGAATCCAAGCATGCATCCCCAAGGCCGGAAAATTAAAATGCAACGATTTGAAGTTTGCAGAGCATGCGCTGGTGTATATATATCCGCATGAGAAAAAGAACAGTTGCGCATATATATTATTGGCACCAACTTCAATCAAATATATAATAGCGATAACATTTGCAAATTTGCACACGAAATATCATGCATATATAATCGCCTGGTAATATGACGATATATATAATACGAACGTCGTACAGCCCCCAGCCTCACAGATCATGGGAAACCAGAGATATATATAAGGGAATGGGAGCAAGCTAATTAACATGTATTTTCATTTTCTCGCCGCCGTTCATTTCATGTCAAAACTTATATGATTTCCTACACATACATATCTGAGCAGAGCAGAGCAGCTCAGCGTTCGGGCTCAGAGGTGATGATCTGTCTGCTGCTTTCGGCTGCCGTCGGAGACTTCACCAAATATATCATGACATCCATTCCATTTCTCCTGCTCTCTTGCCTCCCAGTAACCTCCCACATAGCGGAATGTCCCGTCGCTGCCATCCCTCCGGAACCATCTTGGTTTCCAACCACTGTCCTGCATCTTCCGTGACTGCAATGCAAAGCCATCGTCAAATTAGAAATTCCAATTAGAGCATACGCATTCGCTTTCCCACAAAAATGCGAAGAAAGATATATATACCATTCGTTGCCTCGCCTCCAGTCGCAGCTTCTCAGCGTTGGCCTTACCATACTCCCCATTCTCTACATGTCGCTGATCTGGTCTGAGTCTTGAATCCGTTGGTGGAAGCCTCTCCTAAGCAATTAGTCGACATTTTCGTGCTTCAGAAGTGGCGCTAAGAATAAATGATAATAATGATCCAAGCATGCCAGCAGGTCTATCTACCTTGAGTTCTGGAGTCAACTCGTTCAGAGTTATTGCGAATGATGAAAGGTTATAGCGAGTAGGATTAGCTGAAGGTTCATTTTTCTCCCACAACAGAGTCGCATCTGTATTCTGGCCTGATGCACTGCAGTTTACTCTGGGTGCATCGTTAGCAATGGTGCAGTACATGCTCTCATCCCACTTTCCCATTAGGGTCGCAACCTTGGAACCATCAACATCCTTAACGAATCCTTGAACCTTGCATACAACTATATCTTAGTAAGATCCATGAAACGATTTCCAAGGAGACATACGGGAACTGTTAGTCATACTGCATTTTACCTGGCGAGGGTTGCGCTCAAGGAAAGATTGTTGTTTGAATATTAGCTTGCATGAATATCCCCTGTTCCCATTTATACTCATCGTGCCATGGTGATTACAATAAACTCTGCCGATGATAAGGTTTTTTTTTACGCCTATGATAAGGTTATTAATTGTTGTTGTAACCTGGTATAGAGATTAAAAATAATTATTTGTTTTTTTCTAAAGAGTTCAGTGAAAAAACTGAAACCAACAAGTCAAAGGTCACTGTATGCACGGGAAGATGGTGTGCTACAATACTTGTAGACCTGCTACAAAAGAGCTCGACACTAGAAATGGGTGAGTGTATTGGCAGTCTGCTAGTCACGCCAACAACAATAAAGTAAAGGATATTTACCTTACTCCACTGGAAAGTTTCTCCATCATCAAATTCTAGAGTTAACACACCAACAGGATCCAGCTGGATTGTTTGCCCCCAGAACTTGCTCTTTACATTGCTGTCTCCCCAAAATTTCCAGCCTTTTCCTTCACAATGACAAGCCATGACCATTGGATGATGGCTAACCTGATACCAGAAATAGAGCATGATAATTAACTCCAGCTAGTTTGTACTGAAGGTCTAGCATCATAAAACAGTATCGATGTGACCGCAACAATCAGTTGACAGGAAACAATTAACCAATGATGCACCGTTTCACTTTTCATTGAAATTAAATCACTGCTCTGACTTGTAGTTTTCTTTTCAACTGAAATACTGATTTAGAAACTATTCACACTGCATAATTCAGTAAATATTGCCCGTTCATTAATTTGCGTCAGGAGACCAAGCATAGCTCTTATGATTTAACAGAAACAAAAAAGGGTGACTTTTAACAAAGAATAGACCTTTTCAGAGATGAAACGGATTCCATTTTCAGGGTAATCAGCTTCATAGGTTTCCCCTAACAATGGATTGAAAGGTTTGCAGGGGCGCCCATCTGAGGAAGCATACCCAGAAACCGCAAATGCAGCAACGTTAAGAATTCTCATCAAACTGTCCCCCTGAATTCAGAAGCATAATAATTGAGAAATTATTCACAAGTCAAATCTACTTAATAAATCTTACAATAAAGATTCTAACTCAACTAATCAATTATTGAGTGGGAATTTGTAGCAAGAGTAATACCTTTCGGCCACATTCATATGCACGATCTAACAAATAAGAATATTCCAAGTCTTCAAAGCATTTTTGAAGAGATGATAATGGTTCGTTAAAGTAAACAGGCAGACATATTCGTGTAAGATCTCTTCCGACATTATCCTTGATCATTGACCAAAGACTAACACCCTTTTCCTTCTCAACTGGATCAGGCAACTTCGTGCGACGCTTGAAAAATGGCGACAGGCACTCACTGTCAGCTTTTGGTTTCACAAATTTATCACCATACAGAAAGGTATCCTTGCCAGAATTTGAACCTTTCATCTTCAAGCAAGAAATTGCTGCTGAATCACTGAAACTCTGCCTTGTATCATAAAAATGATAGTCATCGTCATCCAAAAGTTCATCCAACTCCTGTTGTCCAACATCATCAGAAGATTCAGTATTGCTGCACTCTGATGTTAAATTAACAGTAAGCAAACATGTTAAAATATAGTTTACGGGGAGGGGAAGGGGAGCATGCATGTTTTGAAGACAGAATTAAGTGCATATGTTAGAATAATAAAGCAAGCATAAACAACAAGTGAAAGAAAAGGATTTCAAAAATCAAGTACCACTACATTTTCCCTGTCCAGAGCTGGAATATTCAGGTTTCATCAAGTGCGAGTGGAGCTCAATCATATTAGCATTATCATCTGCATTAAGTACCTGAAAAAACAGAGTATATCATCATGAAACCATGAAAAGGAATTGCAACAGTCAAGAAGGTGATTGTGCACAGTAAACATGATTTCTGTAGAAGGCAGTTGCCAATTGGTTGATAGGTCAGCGATGCATGTTCTACAATGAGAACATAGCCAATAGAACAGAACTCTAGATACATTACACACTCACAAAAACCAAAGGATTTTGTGTAATATATCTAGAGTTCTGTGTTTTAACAGAGGACACATCCTTTTGCGATCAAGCAGAGAAGTTGATTCAGCATCCTTGTGTCCTGTGTTTTCACTCGATAGATCTGGACTCTGGTCCTGAACAGATTAGGATTAATGACAATTACTCCTCGGCCTAGAGTGACTTGCTTTTCCAAATGGTGGTGCCAAGCAATCAAGGGGTTTGATAAGAAGATGAGAAAAGGACTGAATTGTTTAATCATCTTGGTCGCTTGGGAAATATGGAAACATCGCAATGCTCGTGTGTTTGAAGGAGTTCTTCCAAATGTCAAATCGCTTCTACATGCTGTAGCTAATGAGGGCATTCTGTGGTGCACGGCTGGAGCCTCTGCTCTTAAGGAGATGCTTCTTCAGCTAAGCACTGAAATATGAGTGCTGTTTTAGTCTACTGTGGTGTGAGTGTTGGATTACTGAGTCTGTCTCCCTTGTATTAGGAGTAAACTCTTGTCTCTCCTACATATTATTTCTCTTCTTAATGAAATGACACGCAACCCTCCTGCGTTGTTCAAGAAAAAAAATATATTGCATAGACTTCAGATGGCTTGCTATGCCTCGTCATTTCTAGAAGGAAACTTGCAGAGAAGTCGACACACCGCCTGTTCGTTTGGCTGTGGCTTGTCGTAAACGATCGTAAATTTCCAGCCGGAACAATATTTTTCTCTCACACAAACCAGCCAGCAGTACTTCTTCACGAACCAGCAACGAAACGAACCAGCCAACCGAACAGGCTGCAGTTCTTTCTTTCTTTTCTCCTCTTTTGCTTGACATGCAGTTAGTCTTTTTAGCTTATTGGCAAATTCAACTTCTGAACAAGCAGAATCCATCAGACTTAAATAGAACTTAAAGGGGAAAACTGGGTATCAAATGCCTCTGAAGAGCAGAATTAATCAATTAGTTGATCAAAACCAAAAACAGTAGGGTAGCATGCCTTCCCTAATATACTAATGGGCATATCCTGCAAGAACATTACCTCAAGCTGCTGTGGAAGACTGCTGATAAAGCTTACATATTCTTCACAGCGTTGTTTCATCTGTGTGTGTGATACTGTGAGAATTCCGAATGGACAATCCCTTCACAGTCTTTAATTATCTCCTCACCAAGGCCTTCTTCATGCATGCGATTTCTAAGCCTCTCCGTAGAAAATGATGCATCATTCTGGTTACTCAATAAACCCCCATCTGGAGAAGATTCAGCTCGAGCAGAAAAAAGGGCTTCGATCCAAGCCACTCGTTCATTAGCAGAGTCTGTTCTCAGCTGCAGTGTCTTGGTTGGAGTAATTATGTAGAACCGCCTGTCATCTGACTTGCTTTCACGGAATGAGGAGATCTAGAGATATTTAAACTTGACAAAATTAGCATTCAGAAGACAAAATCAAAGTTATGATGTTATGAAAAGTAGTTTTAGCAATTCATATAAACACTGCAGATCATTGTTAACACCACATTGATGGGCAAATCTTGGATGATGCAGATTATTTGTTTTTTTTTATAACAGAGAGCTGCGTTTTATTCCTTTGAGATAGTAGGAAAGTTATAGAAACTCAAACTATCCAAGATGGAGAAGAAACACATGACGAGCAACAAAAATAAGAATGGTATGGGCTATCGGATACGAAGTGAAATAAGTAGGATGGAGACAGTAATAATTAATTAAATAAACAATAGGCACGGAGAGAGAAGCAAAGGTGAGTGTGATAAGCTGCAAACTAGTGATCAGAAAAACCACTTTAGCAGAGGGTTTCATTTCAGCGCATTGTTAATTTACGAACGCAATTACATTATGTAATGGTACTACTGGTACTTGCAGACAAGACCCTTCACTTTGTGACGGTCGTATGAAAAGAGAAGTCTTGTTCATGGAAGGGAAAGCATAGCCTGGTATGTAGTTCTTGGCTTCGCACGCTGCCTGCATCATCTTTGAAGCAGAGTATGCTAGTTGTTGACAGGCAATCGAATTGTTTGGATAGCAAGGTTTAACCTTTTGGAGCCCATCCCATTCACATTGACATTGCGATTTCTGTTGGATGGAGGTTTGTAATGCTATCTCTGTCCCATTCAATCCCATTACCATTAGGTAGCAGACGAGAGAGGCGAGAGCGGGCCTGACCTTGAGGTGCACGAGGCCGACGGGGCGGTCATGGCCGTATCGGGCGGGCCCAATGATCCGGGTGGCGGCGGAGGAGGAGGAGGGCGACGTGGAGCGGCGTGTGATCTTAGAGTAGGCGAGGACGGCGCCGCGGATGGCGAACCAGCGCGGGCGCCAGCCCTTGCCGATGTTGGTCCACTTGTAGAGCAGCCCGGCCACGGACGGCGGCGGAGGGGCGAGCGGAGGCGTCGGCGGAGGGGATCCTCCGTCGTCGGCGGGGAGGCAGCACAGCGGATGCAAATCCCTCGGCCGCATTACTACTAGCAGTAGCAGTAGTTTCTTTGGATTCGATTTGGAGCCATGGATCGCAATTCCTCGCTCGCATTCGGCTCCGCTCTCCTCCACTCCTCCTCCTTCAGTTTATATACTACTCCTACTAGAACTCCATCTCCAAGTCCACATCTACATCTACTACCACTATAGAACGAGGAGAAGAAAACCCCTCGCCGGCCTCCTGCTGGCACCCACTCCACTGACCACTGGTTCTTGCTGACGTCACACGTCTCCTGTCGTCTCGTCTCGTCTCGCTAGTGACGATTTGCCGCCACTCCACGGGGACGGGGCTGCTCACTCACAGTCACAGGCGCCCGCAGCCGTGACCAAGGCAGCCCAAGACTCGGCATGTGTTTGGATCACCTCCTATCTCTCTGCCTGTTCGGTTGGAGATATGGGCAAGTTGGCTGATGAAAAACATTGCTTAATTAGGAGTCATATGAAAAGATGATGATTTTTGTATGGTGAAGTAAGTATGCAAAATATAGACACAGATCCCATCCCTGAGATTTTTTTAAATGGATGTTTCGGTTCTTAATTTTTACTTTTTACTTTCATTTCACCTCACAACTATTAAAGTGACCGTTTCGGTTCTACAAACTTTATTTTCAGGACCCAATTTCATCTGCATACTATTAAAATGGTTCCTTTCGTTTTCAAACTTTTTTTCTTTTTTTGCTCAACCTTGTCCCTCTTCCATCTCCGGCGCACCACCCATGATAAATTCATAAGAGGTGGACTACGTATAATGCTCAAGCCCATATCTATCACACCCTAAAATTTTCGATTTTGGGTTGTGCATAGAAAACACTAAATAAAATAAATAATTTCAATGTTGGTATAAAAATTTCCAAGTTTAGTTTAAGGTAGTGCAAATTTAGTTATAGAAAAAATGAATTTTCAATCTTTTCCAAATTAATTTGATGGATTTTGCTTGATGTGATGTTTGCTTGTTGTGTGACTTGGTGTAATGAGTGAGTAAAATTTTCAAAACGCGTTTAGTAAGTCGTTTATCTATCTCCGGCTCGTCTCTATCTTTTTCTATAATCAAATTCCTGCTTTCTCGATCCTAATCTTTTCGTTCGGAATTTTTCAAGATCCTCTTCATCTGCTCTAAATCATTCATTTGAGTTTCTCATTCATTAACCTATCTCTCAAAACTTTCTGGAATTTTTCTGGTTTTTCCTGGAACCTTTTCCTATTTTTCTGTGAGCATAATCTAATTTTTAGATGCTCCAAAATATCTTTTCATCATGAGCTCTAAATACTTTATTTAGGTTCCTCATGTTGTAAAATGTCTCTGAGAATTTTCCCTGAATTTTCGGAGATTTTGGAGTATTTTTCGTGGCTTAAATATCAATTCTAGACTTTTCTAGAATTATTTTAATCCCAAAATTGATTAATTCCGAAAATAATAAAATATCTTATTTTCTCACCAACCCTCAAAGCCCATGTGCAATAATCCTAACAAATCTCAAAGGCACATGCATTTATTTATTAATGGGCTTTAATGATTATTTAGGCCCATTAGTAAAGTTGGAGGGTGCAACATCAATTAGTACCATATTTCTAATTGATATAGATGTAAGGAGTTCTCCTCCATATATATTTGTACCAGCCCCTTGGTCAAAGCACACCAGAACTAACGTAAGGAGAGCCCCTAGTTTGGGAATTTCTAAGTGAGTAAATTAGATTTTTCCCTTCTTTCTCTTCTACGTCGTTTCCAACATCTCGTCTGTGCCACCATCGGTCGGCCTCCCCCAGCCCCCTGCAATCAAGCTCCCTCCCTCTTGTTACTGTTGAAAGGTCACGTGAGATGGATGGATGGAGGAAGAAGGCGAGGTAATTATAGAATTGTCACTTGTTCATAATATCTCCGTCGTTTCTTCGTTTTAATTCCGTTTTGTTTCGTTTAAGTTGCGTTAGATTCGTTTTGACGCGATCTATAAGTTAGTAGCGATGTTTATCATATCACATGTTTTTCAATATATTGTTAAATACTAAATTGATTAATACACATGCAACTAGTTTCTAATTAAAAAGCAATGTAGGTGTTAAACTTCTATATTTCATACATAAAAGTTAATATGATTAATTGTAAACTTAAATGTGTTTTAATTATACTTAGTTTAAACTCGTTTAGTGTTTTCACATGCACTTTTCTTTTTGTAAATTTTAAATGATACATGCATGTTTATGAATCAAATATGATTAGTCTAACCCAGCTTTTAGAATTAAAATATATTTTATCTAATCTAAATTAATATGCTTCACATGGTTTTGCTCAATTAAAATAAATCAATCATATAGGTTTTTCTTTTCGTTGGTAATATAAAACTCTCGTTAGTCTTTTCTTTTAACTGTAGCTCTATTCTAGTTGTTACTTGTGACGTTGTATCTGTGCCGACCAATGCTACGTGTTAGCAGTGATGTTTAACATATCTCATATCTCAAAATTTCATAAGTTAAATGTTAATTTGTTCAATGGTTATGCAACTGGATTTATAATTAAAAGCCACTTAGGTGAATACATCGGTCTTTCATAAATCACTATCAATATGATTAATATCGACATTAATACCTTTTTAATTTATAACATGCTTAGTTCAACTTTAAAACATGATGCTTTTGTTTATTTTTTGTCACATGTCCTTTAATCTTTCTAGTTAAATATTTAAATGACTTAAATGATATGAGATATTTTTATAAATAAAATATAATTAGTTTTAACTCGACTTTTAAAACTGAATATGTTCTGAGTAACCTGAGTTGATACTACTCACATAGTTTTTTTAAGGGAAATTTTGCTATTGGACATGCCAAATGACGCGTCTTTGCTGGCGGACACTGCGTTTTTCATCTTTTGCCGTGAGACACTCTGGTTTTTGGAAATACTGCCAGTGGGCACCGCAACCCAGTTGCACCCGGTTTTGGAGAGAGAAAACTTCGTTTTGGACATCGGGTGCCCCTGAACCATACTTGGCGCCGTCCCAACCTGGTCTGGTTCGACCCACTTAAAACGGCCGGCCCGCACCCGACTCGTCTCCACTGCTCGTCTCCACTGCTCCTCGTTCCCCCTCTTCACCGCAGAGGCGGCGGCGGCATAGGCTGCGGCGGCCGGTCGGGCGGGGGTGCCGGCGCGGCGTAGGTTGGCGGGCGTCGTCGACAGGAGAGCGGGCCTATAGAAGATGGCTACAGGATCTGGCGCTTCTTCGTCGACTGGGTCGCGTGGAGCGAGAGAGGGGCAGGCGCTGTGCCCTTTCTGCCACACGGCGACGGTCGTGGAGCGGACGTCGAGAACCACAAAAAATCCAGACAAGCCGTTCTACACTTGCAGGAATCGTGACTGGGTGAGTTTTCTTGATTTTGTTCTTGCTACATTTGGGCGTTTTGAAATCGGATGTAGGGTTCATCCTATTGATTTGGCTTTCGCTGTGAAATAGGGCAACGGTACCTGCAACTTCTTCATGTGGAAACCAGAGAGCGCTGGAGATGGCATGGATGGTGCAGCAGTGATGGCTGCGTTGAAGGCTCTGGAGAATTCTCTATTGAACTTGAACAATGTTGTAGTTGCTCAGAGCACTGTTGTGGCTAGAATAGCTGGAGAGCAATTAGTTGTTAGGATGATGGTTGGGGCCAGTGTGTTTGTAGGTGTTGTTTGCTTTCTTGCTTTGTGCATGGTATTGTACAAGCAAGCATGAAGTATGATTTGTAATGTTTGTGAAATATGAATGAAATGCAGTTTGAATGGAGTAACTTCAACTTGATTTGTTCCCTTTTTTAGTTGTAAAGTTAAAATTGCAGCATCACTACCTTCAACTTAACAGCTGACTTAATTTTAGCATGACAAACACAGGCATACCAGATCATTAATTATGGAACATCATACCAGATGGCAATATCAAGTTGACACCAACAATAGCCAAGTTCACTACATTAGCAGATTACAATACCAGGTTCACACCAACAATATCCAGGCTCAAAAGCACACAGATTACAATAGCAAGTTCATAGAACCACACAAAAGCACACCAAAAGCACAGGTGGCTCAAAAGGTTGCTTCTGTCTTGATGTTCCCAGTGCAGGCATCAGCCCCCCCCCCTCTTGCTCCTAGTGCAGGCGCTTGGGCTCTGACTCCTAGTTTGTGCCCCTAGGCTACCTCCAGCTTGCTGTTTGGCCTGCCTCCTAGTGACTGGGGATCTTGGAACCCTGTAAGATGGCAGATGTGACCATGTTATCAACTTACACTTACTGCACTTGGCTTTAGATTAAGAACAGTGGTGGCAAGAAATGGATCACTTACTGCACTGATTGCTCAGGAGGTGTAGGCTTAGTTGGAGTTGTCTTCTTCTTGCTAGTTTGTTTCCCCTTGGTGGAGGCCTTTCTCTTCTTCTTGGCTGGCTCTTCTGTTGTTTCTATGATCTCAACAACCTTTGGCTTATAAGTCCTTCTCTTCTTCTTTGGAGGTGCAGGTGGTGGTGCATCAGGGTCTGTAACAGTTTCATTGCAGGTTTTTTGCAGGTGTCCAAATCCACCACACCTTTTACACCTTCTCCTGCCCTTGCTGCTGGAGCCACCTTCTTCAACTCCAACTATCCTTCTCTTCCTTGGCCTTCCTGCTGCTCTGTTGCATTTAGGTGGAAGGAGGTTGAAGCCAAGGTTCAGCTTTTCCCATTCATCCTTGCTTGGCATTGGAGGCACTGGAGTTGCATAGGCTGCTTTGAACATGTCTACAGAATAGTAGTGGTCAACATAGTCCTCTAAGTCTACCCTTCTGGTGCCAATGAAAGCTAGGGCATGAACACATGGCAAACCAGTTAACTGCCAACCTCTACAGGTGCCAACCTCTACAGGTAGGGCATGAATGTTGTACTTCAGATTTCTACTTTTGTTGTGCAGCTCCTTCATGACAGCTGGCAGAATCTTGAAGGCAGAAAACTTGGACAGCAGTTGCATCCTGGTGCAAAATCTCTCCATGATCA